CAGTCACGTTCAACGTTACATCAACTGACGTTAGGGGTCCCTGTGGAAGACGCCACAACCTGAACTGTGTCACGTAAATTGAGGATGCAGATGCTGACAGGCAAGCGTGCCAGAACAAATGTATCTCAAATCGTAACCTTCCCAATGCCTTGTAAGCCAGATAAGCGGGCCCACCAGGGGTGCCAGAGTTTTAATCGGCAACCGTTAGGGGGGTGGAGCACAATGACAGAATCATGTGAAGAACTTGGAAATTAAGGAATCAAGGGGACACGGTGGAATCCACCGTGGCAGAAGACATAAATGCCAGGTCCGGAGAGAAGAAGGCAACTCTCCACCGGACACAGTGACAGACTTCTATGCCAAATCTGCAACTGGGAGGCAGTGGAGGACCCAGAGTTCACCGGCAGGGAACAACTGGAAAAAAGCTGTTTGGAGACCGCCATCCCCTTCTGCTGGCCTCCAAAGAAGACAAAGAACTACTTGGAGCGTCTGAAGCTCCGGGTGCGTTCCACGTAAATGTGCAAGGCACGGACAGGACACAGCAACGCAAGGGCCGGGTCTGCCTCCTCCGAGAGCAGCGCTTGCAGGCTCACCACCTGGTCTCGAAAGGGAGTGGTGGGAACCTTGGGCACATAACCAGGCCGGGGTCTCCCAAACTCAAGGTACGATTTGTTGACCGAGAATGCCTGCAGGTCCCCCACCCTCTTGATGGAAGTGAGCGCAATCAGGAGCGAAGTCTTGAAAGACAGATGTTTTAGCTCAACTGAATCAAGCGGCTCAAAGGGGTCCCTCCATAATCCCAAGAGAACCACGGAGAGATCCCAAGAGGGGATGAAGTGCGACCTAGGAGGATTTAGTCTCCTCGTACCTCTCAGGAACCTGACGATTAGGTGATACTTCCCCAGAGATGAACCATCCACTCCATCGTGGTGAGCCACAATGGCAGCGACATACACCTTCAAAGTGGAGGGGGACAGCCTCCGCTCCAGCTTTTCCTGCAGGAAGGAAAGCACCACACCAACCGAGCATCTCTGAGGGTCCTCTCGGCGGGAGGAACACCACTCAACGAATAGACCCCACTTCAAAGCATAGGCCTGCCTC